TCGTCGCGTCTGCTCACCTCCTGTGAGAGTGTGTTCTCAATGCAAGTGTGCAGCATTTGTGTATCTGTGGAAGTGAGTGATGAGCTGCATTTTTGTGTCATTTATTAAGCCTTCGTTGTAGTGTGAAAATCAGCGGTGGGTGATCATAAACAGGTCTTTGAAGCAAAGAAGGTTTAAGCTGGTTTCTGTGCATGCACACTTGACAGCAGCTCCACACCTTAGTGTGTGTGTTCTCAGTTTTTTTTTTTTTGCCCTTGAAGTTATTTTCATGGCTCCACACACACACACACAAACATTCCCTCTAATAAAAAAAGAACATTTTCCTTTGTTCTTTTCAAATGTTTGCAGATGATGTGCCAGACTACGGCTTCTCTTCTCTCTGTTATCAATCCAGATACTCTTGAACTCAGATGGAATCGACTAATATCAAGCGCTCTGCCTGCACTTTAAATCATTACACGTCTGTCAGACTCAGTTTTTACTTAGATGTGATCTAAAGAAAATATGTGAATATCTAGGATTCTTAATTTACTTTAAAGAATTATAAGTGTGCCGACTGAAGAGCTGTCACCTCTTGAACTTTTGGAAAATGTTTTCTATTATGTTTAAATACATATAATGGTTTCTGGATGCAGTTTGCTGGAAGCCGCCAAAAGGCACCAAAATACAAAACATGGGATAAAGGGGAAAGCATGGAAAGAGAGAGAAAAAAGGTTCAGATTGGCTTAACTTACCACCCCAACCCCAAAAGCAAGACCCGGAGTAGAGGACATGCTGTTTCTAGCCATGTGTCTCCAGCCGTTTGTGTGTATTGGATGCAGAGAAATGTGCTGCGTCTACTGTTTGTGTAAGACGTTTATTTTTCTGCTGAGGCGTTCTGAACAAGCTGGATCTCTACAGTCTCCATGAGTTATTTTGCTTTTGGGGTTATTTCTTTAACAGTTGGCTACTTGACACATTTACAAAGCTCTTTTTTTTTTTTTTTTTTTACATCTTCAGAGCAAAAATCCTCGGAGACAGAGCATGACAGTTTTCCTTTCTTCCCAAGTTTACAGCTCTTTTTGTTGCCGTGCGTTTAAATGGATGGAGGGAGCAGTTCGGCTCCCCCACTGGATTAAGTGTTTTCAATCAATTCAAGTGCCGCTACAATGTGAATCTGAGAAGAAAAAAAACAATAACACATAGAGATGTTGCTGCATTCTGCATGCAATGGTAAGGAAGCATCGAGGTGTTGCTTTGAAGTTTAATATGTGCACATGCCTACTGTTAAGCATGGTGGCGGCTGCCATTGAGAAAATAACATTACATGGGTTAAGAAACTCTGCTGTGAGATGGTGGATGTGTCAGGAACCGAGGACCGATGGACCCAGTATTCAAGGAGAGACTATCAGTAGGAAAGTTAAAAAAGGTTTATTAAATTAACAAAAACTAAAGTGGAGCTGTTGCTCGCGGACACTGCAGGATGGGGAGCGGGGCACCGCCCAATCACAGACACTCTGGTTTAACAGTCCAGTCCAAGAATTTCCCCAAGTGCTGCAGTCCCAAACAGACAGGAACAGGATCCAGATCAGGCAGGAACAGTACAGGTGGCAGGATCCAGACTTCCAGGCATCCACAAGCTCCCAGGAGGGTTCAGAGTCTGACTGGGACCAGAAGCATGACCAGGTGGTCACGCACAGCAGCAGACAGGATCCGGTGCAGATGAGCAGGCTCAACGGAAGAGGTTAGCCAAGACGGGACCTGGAACCAGAACTTGATGCAGGACTTTAAACTGGTCTCCTCCCCGGAGCCAGGCTTACTGGAATAAAAACTGAACCTCCCCTCATATAGAGCCAAAAAACCCAGAGGGCTCCACGGGGGAGGAACAGTGGACGATCAGGAGACGAGACAAACACTAAAACCCTCTTTCCACTGGCTGCCAGGATCCAGGGCATGAACCAAGGCAAAAACTGAACGGACAGACTAACAAAAAGACAAGTAATGATCTGGCACTGAATGCTCAGGCTGAACTGAATATAACCAAGAGGAAACAGGTGAGAGGAATAAATCATAATTGAGGCAGGGAGGGAAAATGACAGGTGAAAGGAATGACTAATTAAGGGAGAGCAAACAGGCCAGGTCATGACAGGATGTTGCACAAATAATTCTTATGACTGGTAGAAAGTAGAAAAATAGCCCCGAAGACATATAATTAAAATAAGAAAGACGGAACAATCCAAATACAGATTGGTAACCTGAAGAATGAGGCCTTAGTAAATGGGTTAAACTGCAGCAGTCAGCTACCACCTATTTCCACTTGTTTGTTTGTCGTTAGCTCAGTATCTTGGTTTTCAATGCTAATAGAGTGAAAAAAAGCCTTTGGCAGTTCACCAGTATGAGGAGCAATGCTTTGGAAGCTCCTTGTGCCTCATGTGGCGCGTTTCTCTGAGCTGAGAGCCCTCCAAACCAGGAGCTGCTTCCAAACGCTAATGCCAAGCTTTGAAGAATCTCTACTTCATTGCTTAAAAAAAAAAATGTCAAAAAGGTATCAAATAACAAAATTATATATAGTTAAATGTAATAATGAAACCTTTGAGCACTTTTGGATGTTTTTTTTCTTGTTCTTAATCGTTCTTTACATTTTGCTGTCATTTACCTACAGCAGTGTGGTGTTATTAAAAATAAAGATGAGAATCTGTAATTTTGTTTCGCCTAAATCTGTAATGCAACTCTATAGTGATTATGCTTTGATGGTCTGCTGAAAAAGACCCATGTAAGTCTACTTATTTCTTTAGCTCAGGTTTATGTAACTCTACTGGTAAAATGGCAGATTTAAAGTGTTCTCACTGCTTATTTTCTGACAAGATAAATGCTATGTGTTACATGATAGCCTACAAGTAATACTAAAAACTCTGATTCATGCTTCAATAAAATTAAAAGCTGCCCACATGGACAAACTGAATGCCTTCAAGAAAAAAGCTTTACAGTCAGAGGAGATAAAAGCTATTTTGACTTACGTAGTATTTGCACCTTAACACTGCTTTAACTATAGACATTTCTAATCAAAATTATTGTGCATTTTGAAGTATAGCATTAGAAAAACGAAAATTCTAATCAACAAATTTTGCAAAAAGTTTTTGTGCTCGCTTGAAGTGGTTTTTGATGAAAGGGGAAAAAGTTTTTTTCTAAAAAGTTCTGACATAGGAAATATTTATTGTATGACGGATCAGCCGTTTCTGCTGCGGCTGGGTCCTGAATGCAGCATTAGAATCACACCATCTCTTTCGATGTCTCCAGATGGCAGGAACCTTCGCTAACTCTGGCTGTATTAATATCATGTAAGTTAAGTAAAATAAGACACATTCATCAGATCCTCGTTCCATCATTGATCTAGCATGCTATTATGTATGTACTTCCTGTTTATTACAGACAAATGCAATGTCAACATATGATTACATCATGATTTGCATCACTTTTTTAACTTGTTTGAATGGATGCAAACACGTCTAATTCACATTTTCTTTTTTCTTTTTCAAAAGTTACCTCTAAATTTCCTTTTTGTCTGAACTCAAAAAAAAAATGACTGCCCCCTGAAATGGTGCCTTGAGCTTATTTTGTCCATCGTCCTCAGAAATCTGCAGAGTTTCCTTTTCAATGATAAAGAAAAGTTTTCCCATAGCAAGATCCCCCCTACACCATGTTTCATGATGGGAAAAGACTTCAGGGTTCAGTTAAGAGTTCTTCTTTTAACAGTGGCTTTCTTTTTACCACTACTCCTTACAATTGTGGACAGCTTCCATTTTTTTTAACCTTTATTATTCACATTTTTAAATTCAGGAAGTTGCTTTCTAACCTAACTCTGTGTTAAATCTCTCCATATATTTACCTGTGGCATTTTCCTCTTTCTTAGGAGCTGTTTGCTCTCCAATGTTCTCTTAGAAACTTCTGAGACCTTAACAGAGCAGAAATTATACTGAAATCAAATAAAATCCAAGTTGGTAGTTGGTTGATCTGTGTTTCTTTTAGAGTTTGTAATGTGAATTGGGCACAATCTAGGATATGCACTACTTATTTTACTTACTTTACTTACCTTTTCTCTATTCCATGAAATCCAAATAAATTTGCTATAAGTTGAAGTGATGATAAAGTAATCACTTTAAAACAGTATAAAGCTGAGTATAAAGTGTTACCACATCCTGCTTCAGTTTATTTGATAAAATATACATTAAGCCTTATTTATACGCAGACCTACCTGGATGACTCTCCACTTTTTGGACCAGATTTTTTAATTCTTGCAGAGGATTCATTAAATATCAAGAAAAACTATATTAACCAGAGCTATATATGTTATTCTAGCCCCTGCATGAAGCAAAGAAAAGAAAGGACTCAGAGAGGAATGTACTGAATGTGATTTGGTTCAATTAGACCTGCTTAGAGCACCGGTGGGTTTGATTTAACGTGGAACCACAGCATCATAATTGAAGGCATGCTGGAAGAACAGCAGCTGAAAGAGGGAGAGAGATGGTGGGGTTACAGGAGGGGCTGAGGCAGGAATGCAGGGAGAAAGAAAGCAGAGAGAAGAAAAAAGCAAAAAAGAGAGAAGGCTGGGTGAAGGCGAGGACGGTGGATGAGAGATCACAGGACAGAGAGCTTCTTTGACAGTTAATGTGACATGCGTGACACTGGTTAGCTTGGAGCGGGATTCCATGTCAGAACTTGCGCTGTGTGTGTGTGTGTGAGATGAAAAGTCAGAAAAAATAAGAAAAAAAAGAAATGGGAAAGATCACAGTAATGTTCTGTGCTGCCGTCCACCATCACATGATGCTGCCTGCTGTCACATTTTAGTCAAGCTAACAAGCACAAAACCTCAACCATTAACACAGGAACAGCCACAAACACACAACAGCATCTGTACACAATGCAGTCAGGGACAGTGACAGACAAATATAACTTTCACTGCTATGATTTAACCGATTATCATCACCCATCCCATCACATATTGAGTAAAAGCACTCAACACATTTTCACTTTTGTAACTGTGTTTTTCTCTTTATTTGTCTGTGTTGGAAGAAAAACAGTTAAAGCACTGCATACCGGCTAAGGTAAGCAGTCCGATTAGGATAACAGAAAGTAAGATCAGCCATGGAGCAATTAGAGCCACATCAGCAGCCCGATAACTGTACACAATAACATAACATCAGTAGTTTAAGAACTGGTGAGACAATGCACATGTTTAAAGCATCAGTGTAGGGGTGTAGCGATACGTTCAACTCGTGAGACCAAAGAAAAATGTTTTCTTCAAAACAAGACAAGATCTTTACCCCTCTTTAAAACCAAGAATGCAGAATTAATCTGGGGAAAAAAGAAGTTATATGATGCATTTTTGGGTCAAGGTCATGTTTCACCCTTTGAGATGTTGGTTTGCTGCTGCCACTTATGGACAAATCTTTTGTGGCTGTGTTAACAAATCCTAACTCCTCCTAACATTGTGGCGCAGCATTGAGACCAGCCTGAAAGTCATTAGAATAAGTAATGTTTTCAGATTAAGATTATGGAGGTTACACCCCTAAGATGCTTTTACTTTCTGGATGTTTATACACCTGGGGAAATTAAGAAAGTTCAGTTCTTGTTTCTCAGAGTGTTTCTCAAACACAGGTCGGTATAATTTTTACAATGCAGAATCCCCTTCAGCGAGTGACACAGCAAAACGCTTCCAACCTGTTTGATTCTGAATTATTGATATAATTATTTAAATCTGGTGTTCATTGATCGGTTCTGATTCAGGGCATTTCAGCAACATAGCATCTATAAACCTTTCTGAAATTATTTAGAATACAGTAACCTCTCTGTATTTAGTAAGGTGTGCAATGTTTGTGTTTGGTGCTTCCAAAGTCAATATAATACTGATAAAAAAGACCCTATAATGTTTTTATATATTTAAAAACCTTTAAAAAAACTCTTTTTAGGGCAAAACTTTTTATTTCAGGTTGGATTAGTCATCTTATTTTATATTTAGGAGTGAAAAAAAATCCCTTTAGTTCAGTGCTGAAAGTGAGCTCTGAAAGAAAATGGTTTTAAGTTCTGCAATCCTCTCACCAGTTTAGCCAATTTTCAGTTTCACCTCCAAAATAAGACAACACAAGAGCTAAATTCCGTGTTTTTCCCCTCATCATTCTTCAATAAGCAGTAATTATTTATTATTCATAGTAAATGTGTATCAGAAGAGAGTTCCTTTTAAAAAATTTTTTCTTTTTTTTAAAGAAAAGCCAAAATAATAGCAGTTTCAAATTGTTACATTAGCAACTGGAGCATTTAGTTTTGCTAGCATTAGCCAAACATTAGCCTCTGGGTGTATTCATTACACTAAGACTGACAATTAAAAAAGACTACAGACATTTTCTCCAAATCCAGCACTTTCATGACTAACAGAATGAAAGTTAAAGAATATGCAATATGTTCAGCCTTCTTGTTACTTGCTGAAAGTCTTGCTCTCTCCCACTGCTGGAAATGCTGTAAATGTATACTTTTTGCTTTTTTTAAAGACCTGACAGCAACTTGAAATAGCTTGTTTAGAGTCTTCTTTGCTTATTCAGTACCAATGTAGCCAAATGTGTTAATGGCATGTATCTGTTGACTGTAAACAAAACACAAGGAGTCCTTTGCTCTTTCAAAAATAAGAGTAAAATCTAAAAAAGGTTAGTTTAAAAGCTCTTATCTTGATGTCTTAAGCAGATAGGAATAGTTCATGCTTACATAACCAAACAAAAATCTGATACAAACAGCAGCTAGATGCTGCAGAGCAAGACAGACATCATTCTGACAAAAAAATATTGCAGCATTTCAATTTTGCAAGAGCTCCTGCTGTGATCTCGTTACACCCCCAGTGACAAGTATGCAAAGTATGCAGAAGGACTGACATACATTCGTTAATTTGAATATACATTATACAAACAAGTGCAGCCTTAGAGCCACTGGAGAACCTTTCATGATCGTGTGTCGGCTACATACACACAACCGTCTATAGAATAAGAGATTCTTTTTTTTTTTAAAGTTACAACCTAAATCCATAGAGTGAGTCTGATTTGCTCTTTCAGCCTACTGAGCCGTAACCCCTTTTAAAGCAACACTCTACAGTTATCTTTTTAAGATTTGTTCATATTTACATGGTTCTAGCCTTTAAGAAAATAAAATATAAACTCACATCTTTCTTTGGTTTAAGAAGGTGTATAAGTTTCTGTTTAAGCTGATTTCCAAAAGGCACATCTGGACCACTTCATGAGAAAAGAATGGGGCTTGTTTCACTCAGTCGTACATCGATTCCTTTTTTTCTTTTCTCTCTGCTTCATTTCTTTTGTTTATTTTTCTCCTTGTACCACCTCTAGTCCCACCTCTAGGTGTGTGCCTTTTCAGGCCGTGCTGGACTTGTTGGTGATGCGGGAGTGGCTCTGGTCGGAGGCTCGGTCACTGACTTTGAGCTTCATGCATGACTGCTTTTCGTCCATCAGCATTTCGGCAGGTAGGCACCAGCAGCACAGGCAGGACTAAAACAGAAGAAGGGGATGCTCATGAAAAAAAGAGAAATACATTTTTTGTATTTTTTTTCTTGAAGAGAATAACTTTTGTATTTTATTAAGGAAACACCAAAAAAGTGTTCTATATATAAAACAGTATATGCAGCCCTTTGACTTGTTGAAATTTCTCCACATTAGAAAATGTCAAGGTATTGCAGTATGTGACAGACCAAAACAAAGCAGTGGTAAATTGTGAAATAAGGCATAAAGCTTAAATACTGTGAAATTAAATCCAGCAGAACCAACTTCCTACTAAGTAAACCCAGAGTGAACGGTGCCGGATGTTTTTTTTTTGTTGTAAAAGAACATTAGTGAAAAAACAGCATCAAGAAGAACAATGATCGTATTGAATCGGTCAGTGTATGAAGTGGTGGAGAATTTAGAGCAAAGTGAGATTGGAAAAATAATCCCAACTTTCAAAGATCCCACAGAGCTCTGTTCAACCCATCATTTAAACATGGAAGGAAGATGGACCAACATTTCCGTCTCCAAAATACCAGTCAAGATGGCCAGAGTTACTCCACAGATCAGGATTGACAAATTCTGGCCTATGTGAAACAGTGGGAAGATAAAGGCTGTTGTTTAGAAAAAGTGATGAAACAGCACATGCAAATTGGCGGAAAAATAATGCAGGAGACAGAACAAACGAGAAAGAAGAGATAGATAGTCAAATTAGGACCAAAGTTAACCAGTTGGTCAACAGATAGCTTCAACATCCTAGATTTGCTTGTCTGACGTCATGACAAGTCTTTCTATCTCTCTGTCTGACTCTCTATCTGTGCACATGCATGCATGTATCTATGTATGTAATATTTCATTAAAAAAAGCAAAAACCTTACAGGTATAGTAGAGGATGTTCTTTTTCCGGGTGGATCATCAAAATAAGTGGTTCTCCTAATTGTCAGTCATTCTGGTGATATGTTTATGTAAGCTGTCCTACGTGCTCGTCCCCATTTTTCACTTACCGGTGGCGAGTCTTTTGAAAAGTAAGCTTGTATGAGCGATGCAAACAGAAACTTTTAAACTGAGCGTGCACAAGGCTCGTGCATGCTCTTGCACCCGTTCAATAGGTGTTCCCTCTCATTAGCGGGTACAGGGTTGTGCATTTGTATTTTTTTTTTAAGTGGAGAGGGAGGGGTCTTTTCTAAAATTTGTGAAAATCATCCATGATACCTTTAAGCAACCCATTATCAACCTTCAGGCTGAGATGGAAACATCCTAAAATGTGAATGATAACTCAACATAAACTGTGTAGTACAACTGTTACTGCTTGAATCAAATATGGCATAAGCATAAACAATATATACTATAACCCTTAATATTTATATGTTATCCAGACATCACAATTTATCACCCGTACAGCAGAGGCAAACACAGTGGGAGGTCAGAGAAAGAGACCACGGAAATAAGCATAATCTGGGCAGATTCAACAGCTGCCCCACCCTCCTATAGAGCTCAGACAGAGAGAGCAGATCATTGCAACATCCCAATGAAAAGATAAAATATACATTTCAGCTAGCCCAGTCTATGATTATAATCAAAAGTAGTTGGAGGGATATTAGCAGGAGCTCAATTCAAGCAAGCTAAAGAAGAAAAGCTAAACATCTGAAACATAAAGCCAAAGTTTTGATTAAATAAATATATAATGGAACAGCCTAGGAACAATCCTACAATCCTACAAATAATCTGTTGAGGGAAAAGGAAGAGTCAGTTATATCAGTCTGTAGATGTGGACAATTGGTAGAAAGAAGCTCCAACGGACTATCATAAGTCCTTCTAACCCTCACTGCTGTTTGATATCAGCTCTGCTGCAAGAAAATCTAAAACAAAGCTAAAAACAAAACCCTGTTGTTTTAGAGACAAGACTTACCCTGAAGCAGTTCTTAAAGCGTTTGCTGACCATGTAGAGAGCAATGGGGTTAATACAAGAGTTGATGGAAGCCATGTTGATGCCAATGTAGTCCAGCACCAAAAAGAAACTGTAAAGATAAAAAAAAGAAAAAGAGACAAAAAAACATTTGATTGTTTGATTGTGTTTTGCTATTCTGCAAATCATAATTGATGGTGCATGTATTCCCTTCTGCCATACCTGAGCAGCTCGCAGCGGTTCGGGTCCTTCTCGTCGTAGATGGTGAGCTTCAGGATACGGCTGAGGTGTAGAGGGAGCCAGCACAGAGCGAACACCAGGACCAGACAAAACACCGTCTTGGCCACCTCCCTCCGCTGATTCCAAAAACACACATCAATCATTATAAGGTGTGGAAATAACTCTACCTCTATGGAGTTCTAGATATTTACATAGATATTCCTCTTTCAGATCAAGTTACTTTTCGAGAATTTTGCTGGATATACAAAAAAAAAAACAATATTTTGATGCATTCTTAAGGGTTTGATCAAATGAAGTCTGATTATATGATCTTTTTTTTTTTTTTTTGTTTAAGTTTTTACTTTTGGGTTCTCAAGTATGCTTTTTTTTGCTCTTTGTTGTCTATTTTAGATCCTTTTTTTTAATTCTTTGTTTTGCTGTTCCTGTTATCTCTTTTCTACATAACTGGTATTGTTTGTTCCCTGGTCTAGTTTGAGTTATTTATCCTTAGGTCATGTTTTCCATCTTATCTTGTCTTTTTCCCCTCTGGCCATTTCCTATGTTTTAGTCATTAGTCTTTTTTCTCCTCTAGCATCATTTAAGTGTTTTCTATTTACCTTTAGTTCCTGATGTTTCCTCTGGTTATTGTTTTTTGCCCCAAGTGCCCTTTCCTTTTCCCTGTAGCTCCTTGCAGTTGTTTCTGTCTACACCTGCTTTCTATCAGCTAATTAGTCCTCCTATTGTATCTGACTGAATCCCAAACCGCCCCCTAACCACTAAACCTTAACTATCAAGTGTCACTCCCAATGAAGTCTCACTCGCTGCTATGGAGGCCTTGATTAAAGGTGGGGGGGTGTAAAAGATAATGGGATGGCTTCTTCCCTCCAACGGAAAAGGAAAGCAGCCGTTGCTATGGCAACACGACGATGCCCAATGTGTGTGGCTGTAGCTCTGTGGTTCACGTTAAGATAACATCAAAAAAAGGTAAACCAAAGCTATTTTAAAGAGGACCTTCCATTTTGGAAATAATGAAATTTTTTTAATATAACTAACTTGTGATTTTCGGTCATTGTGATGAAGATGCAGTAAACCAGAGAATTTACAGGTGTTTCCTTCGCCACCAGGCCGCTGTTACACCTGCTGCTGAATTCCAGCAAGCCTGCAACTGATGCAGACTTGCTATTTAAGGACTTAACGTTCCACTGGCCGTACCCACTACGTGGCACTTAATGTGGCGGAAGAAATCAGCTCTGCCTCCTTAGCTCTGCATTTCGGTCCACAACGATATCCACCAACCTTAACAGTAGATCTGTTCAGATTTCACACACATATATCTGAAACTGATTTTAGTTATCAGACCTGTTTAATGTGGTCGCTAAGGGCAATCTGCACCCCGTTCTTCTTCCTTAGCATCTCGCAGGTCATCAGGGTGTAGAAAATGGCTGTGCAGGCAAGCGGCAAGCAGAAATATGTGCTGAACAACCACCAGTCCTTGGCTGATTTATAAAACTGCAGAAAAGAACAGAGGAACCAGTTTCTGTTGTGCTCAAACATCTGTGTGGGAGAAGTAAGTAAGTAATAAAGATCAAACATATAAGAAGCATATTAACTGGAAAGTGGCCTCCTTCTGACCTTCACTCAAGTGGAGGAACTTAGGGGTGTGCTTGGAGTTGTTCATGACATCTCTTTTTAAAATTGATTTATGAATAGTACTGAGTGGAGTAGAAGTTTTTAAATTAGGTAATGATGGAAAAACGTGGGACCTATATTCCAATAAGCTCTCAACCCTAAAAAAAAAAAAACAATCTTGCATCTGTGTTGTATGTTTTTTTATAATCTATGACCTCTTTCTAACCCCATAGAGGAGTCATGCTGTGGCTCTACCTGGTGTGTGCTGCTACATTAAGCAAGCTTCCATATTTTATCACAGCATGCACATCTGCGCCTTCGTCTCTCTGCATATTATTTGCACATCTGCACGTGTGCTGTCTGCACAGCTGAGTCAACACACTCATTTCTGCGTCAGACCAAAAAAGGCCTCAGAAGGTCGACGTGTCCAGCTTCACCTTCATAAATTCAGTTTTCTGCATGGGGTGCAGCAGACAGATCCTAAGGTGGTCTCCTTTGTAGGTCATGGTGATCATGTCAAAGGCTATTGCCTCTGGCACGGCAAAGATGATAGATAATATCCAGATGAGAGCAATCTCGATGGCCATCCACTTTGGAACTCCGATGCCTTTGATTCGACTCCAGGAGGCCACGGCACGATACCTGGAAATCAAACCGATATGCAATCCTTAAACAAATAAAATTTAAGGCAAATAAATAGCTTGATTCTTTAGGGAAACTCATAATGTGATCTCATATTTAACGCAGATGCCAAATGTGAATGAAAGCAGTTTGCTTTCACTGTCACACCTTAATAATGTATGTAACACCATCAGCTATTCCAAATTACGTCATGTGATAAACAGACATTTCAGTGTTTCCTGAAAGGACTTTACATCATGGATGAAGACTAACAAAAACCTGGTTGCAGCTGCAAGTCTTTGAACAGTTAGATCAAGCTCAGTCAGACTGGATAGCATCCGTGAGTTTCACATCTTTAAAAATATTGCTACATTTCCTCATTTAAAGTTTGATGGGGGGGGGGGGGGGGGGGGGGGGTTAGGGGCTATCCTAGCAGAAGAAACTGTGATCTATGTCATTCTGTAGCAGCAGTCTCTCTTCTTCAGTCTTAAGTTCAATCAGGTTTTCATTTCATTCAGGCTCTTAAGCCAAGAAAACTCTCAACATTCACACAAAATGACACTGCCACCACCATGTTCCGCTGCCAGGATAGTGTGTTCATTTGCACATGTCTTATCCTAGCTAAAAGCTAAAGCATCATCTTCCACATCTATTTTGTTTCTTCTACATGACTTGGTGCAAACAGAAAAGCTGACTCATTTCTTTCTCCTTTCCATTCATGCAAAGTGACTATTTATTCAGGATGCACAAGTTATAGGGGTTCCTAAGCTGTATATCTCTGAAGCTCCCCTGAGTTACTCTTCCTCAGAGATGGCAAAAGTACTCACTTTCCGTACTTGAGTAAAAGTACAGATACTTGTGTTAAAAAATACTCTGGTAAAAGTGGAAGTACTGATTAAACTTCTTTACTCAAGTAAAAGTAACAAAGTACAGGCCTGTAAATTTAATTAAAGTATAAAAGTAAAAGTAGAAACCACTTTTTTTGATGCCGTTGCCTACATTTTAAATGGATGTCTGCCAATAGGACTAGATCTCCGTTGTGTTCATTTTCAATCATCTCGTCGTCCATGCTACTATGCTAATGCCACCGCCACCAAGCTGCAATGATTTGCCGCGAATGAATACCGCCGAATCTGTCGATTCATCTTGTAGTGGTGCGTCAAATGCAACGTAGATTCCCATCCAATTAGATTGAATTTGGTATTGATGAGATGAAAAATAATAACAGTAACTCCATTGAAATTATTCAAAACTAAAGTAACGAGCCAATTTCTTAAAATGTAAGGAGTAGAAAGTACAGATATTTGTATAAAAATGTATGGGGTAGAAGTAAAAAGTCTGCATGAAAATAAGTAGTAAAGTAAAGTAAAAATATCAGAAAAATCTACTTGAGTACAGTAACGAAGTATTTGTACTTTGTTACTTCCCATCTCAGCTCTTCCTGACCTGCAAGGGTTACATGGTTGGCATTATCTTGGTGGGTTTGCTGGTGTGTCATACATGTTAGACTTAAGATGATGGATAAACTCTGCTTCAAAATGGTCTAAGACACAATCTCTGACCCATTAGCTCCTTTCCTTGGTCTTTATTAAGTTCTTTGGTTGTTTGGCCAACCTCTGTGGTTTTCACAGTATAGCTAATGTATGCTGAGACTGATTTCCAGATGTATTGATGCTAGTATTTACTACTTTGATAACTTTTAAAAGAAGTTTGATTACTATGGCTTTTATTTAGAAGTATCAGACTAACTGGGGATGAATAAATGATTAATTTCATATCTTTGTATTCATCTGTCAGATAAATTTCAAATATCTGTCAAAGGGAGGAAAAGTCAAAGAGGGAAGAAAATGGTTTCCAGTTACTAAAAGGAAAAAATAAGGGTGGAAAAAATAAACATGTCAGGAAGTGTGTGTTTGGGAAATGCATGGGTTTTGGGCTGCATACCTGTCAATACTCAAAGCGCAGAGACTCAACACAGTGATCCCCACGGACGCTTTCTGGACAAACGGCACGACCTTGCACAGAGTCACCCCGAAGGGCCAATCCTCTGCTAGAAGCTGCAGACAGATTACAACACAGGGAGAAGGTTGTTGATTTATGCAGAGACAGGGACTGATGCAAAAAGTGTTTCTTCAAGACAGATTTCTGCCACAGGAATCCAGCACACAAGGAAAGCACATGAACTTAAATTTACAGTTTTCTTTTAAAGCATTATTGTAATGTCTTCTGAAAAAAAAAAAAAAAAAAACATTAACAAAAAACACTGAGGCTCTCATGCCTCAGTTTGACCCTCTGGCCTTGCAACCAAATCAAGTGTTTAAGCTCCTGGAGCCCAAGAAAACCTAGAGAATCAAGTCCAACATGAGGCTTTTTGAGCTTTTCTTGGATGGGCGACAGGAATGTGAGTGAAAATCAATTGAAATCATATGTGACCCTGCATCTCTTTGTACCACCCTGTCTGGTCCTTGTCTCCACTCCGGTATGTAGCTGCAACCACCAGCTGTTTTAACACGCCTGGCCGCTTAGCCAAATATACGGATAACCTGGCTCTCTCTGCCTCTTACTCTTGCAAAACAAGTCAAACACTTAATAACAAGCTGTGAGACAGAAGGGGATATGAAGAGGCTCAGAGTCCACAGGAGTAATAACATTTCAGAGGCACTGGGGAGACCCCCATCCCCCAACCCCATCTCTAATTCCACTGTGTGTGTTTAATTAAGTGAACATTGGGTGTGGTTTAAGAGTTTGGAGTCCAAAGAAAGCAAAGATTTTTATATGTAAGATAGATGGTAATTAAATCTGTTTGGTTAGTGAAATGGAATGGCTGTATAGTTTGTCTTACCTTGTAGACATTGATAGGAATGCCGATGATGATGTGCAGCAGGTCTCCAAGCGCCAGGCTGCCAATGAGTATGTTTGGCCCGTTCCGCATGCACTTGTTCTTGTATATGATCCTCAGAAGGGTGGAGTTCCCAATGATGCCGACCACAAACACCAGGCAGGAAACCACTGTGTTGATGTATTTGAAAGTGTCCCTGATTTCGGTGGGCCCTGTGCACATGGGTGGCAGGCGTCGACGGGGCATGGTGATGTTGGGCCGCACCTGGTCGTGCATTTTCCTCTGAACCAGCCCAAGTCTCTGGGTTACAGACATTGTAGCCTGGGGAATTTGATTCCTTGGCTCTGTCTGCCCGCTCACAACAAGCAGGTGAGCACCCAGCAAGAGGAAGCAAAGAGGAACCATCATGTTTGTTTTCTTTAAAAAGATGGCTAATATCCAGGGAAAACTCTTATGGATGGTCTTTAGTGCTCCTGAAACACAGATTTGATAAAATGATGAGTTGTTTGCTGTTTGCCAACATGATCTCAAAGGCCTCTTAGAAGGAAAAAACATCTGCATTTTGTCAAATATTGGGGAAAGGTAGAATATTTTTAAGGAATTCTAGCATTTCTTGAAACTTATGAAACTGCAGAGTTTTCACAATTCTCTTAAATTGTGAAATTGTGGAGTATTAAGCAGTTCTTGCTCAAAACAAGCTGAACCAAAGCTAACATGCAATAAGAAACTGTTTAATTTATATATTCAGACTGTCTGTTTTGTTTAATCTCTATGTTGACCATGCAAACTATTTGGGCAGGAAGCACCCCAAAAAGGAATTAAAAGGTATTTTTTGAAAACGTTGAAACATCCTAATATATCAGGATTTTAGCTGCTCCAGCTACAATACAAACACTTCAACAGAGAATGCAATAGTTGTTAAGGTTAAAAGTTTGGCCAAAAAAATCCATACATCTGGAATATTAATGTAATGTTTTAATACTTTTATTGTGCTTCGCTAAGAAATATTAACGTTTTAAAGTGTCCCATAGCCAGAGATGCAACCTATTCTCATTATGAGTGCGTGTGAAATCGTACGAAAAGTTATGCACCGTAATTTCATACGTTTTGGAAGTTTTTTTCGTCGTATGCGCATGCGCATCTGACGCACCATTCACGAATATAGAATATAAATTACAATTAGTCCTAACCCTGACCTTAACCCTAACCCTAAGATATAAAACAGCAAGCAACGTAGTTAGAGACACGAATAAGTGATGATTGCACTGTTTTTCCCATTTTTACCTCTGTCCGCGGAGCTGCTTTTTTTTTTCTGTCTACCAGCGCATGCACACTGATGTGGTTTTTTGAGGAAAAACGTCCAAAACGTACGAAATAGTGTGCAGAACTTTTCGTACGATTTCATACGCACTCATAATGAGAATATGTTGCGAGATGTAACTAATTTATCAGAAACTTGGTGCAGGAAGCTAAGGATTACCATGGGAGGCACTATAATTTAAAATAATTGGAGCTTATTATAACCAAAGAGAAAAATATCAGAAAAAAAACATTCAAAAAAGCTCTCCAATTGTCACTGGTAGGTTAAAGCAGGGTGTATTGTGTATTGTACTGTGAACACATCAAAGATAGTTATATCAATTGCTGAAAAATGTTAAAGCTGTTCTCTTAAGAATTAAAAAAAACAACACATGTATAAAAAACTGTCAAATCTGCAATGTATGCTGAGACTAAATTGCTAATTGTACATAATGAACATAATGCTGGTTTATTAGGTATTAGGTATACATTTGATTATTTTGTATAAATATATACTTTTTATTTTAATTCTATTTCAGTTGTAGGTTTTAAGGTTCTGTTTTAATAAAGTTTTCATTTAAAGGTTAACTTTTGTATATAGAGAAAGTGTTTCATATAAGCAGTATATGAAAAAACTGTTCTATATACTAATATGATTATATTAAATTGACAGATGACATCTTAACACTTTTACATAGTAAACACTATATGGTTAAAAACAATCCAAAAAAAGAAAACTAGAAACTGTTCAATTTTGTGTTCCTCCTCTCATTTTTTTTTCACAAGAGGAGTGTTATTTACCCTTTCAGTTTGCACTGGGAGTCGCCTTGTTGCATAAACTTCTGGGTTGAGGGGTAGAGTTGGGGGGATTATCATATTATCTAATTTATTCACTTGTGTTTATATCATACATTATTTAAAAAGGTTTATCCTTATTTATATAACAAATTATTCAAGAGGATTCGTCAATGTTTAAAAAGTGTTAGGATTATTTTTAAGATCATGTATGTGCTAGTTAAACCCTGATAATACCTGCCTGTTATGTGTTAAGGCTCATGTTTTGCAAAGGAGTTTGTCTAATTAGGAAACGATTTGGAAATGAAATGGGAGTAGGCGGACGGAGTGGATTATACTTATCAGAGAGCTCTGAGTGTGCTTGATCCATAAAATTGTATTCTTTTGATATGGCTGGGGCCAGAAATGTCTCCTCATTTTATAAAGATGTGTATGTTGTATTGATCTGGCAGGCTGTGTGTATAAAATGCTTCTTTAACTGGTATTGGGGACTGACTGCCAATAAAATGAGCCATTTCTCTGGTCTGAGTTCGATTACAATTTTTGTAAAAACTGTTTTTCATGTCTCAAAGTAATTTAATAGATAAACTTTATTAAGTGTTATTTAAAGTTTTGGTTCCTAGTGATCTATTCTCAGGAAAGAATCGAGGACAGAAAGCTTAAAGAGCTTTCCTTTACATAATGGTGTTTTCGCCCACCTGAATGTAATATGACTTATGGAGAGCCACTGATTGACCAACGCACAGCATGAGGTGAGGGTATTTTTGAACAAATATCTCCAGGGTTTTTTGAGGGGTTGTGCTCGGGATTCTGTGCGCTTAGTGTTCTCAGGTTGCCAAAAAATATACCACAAAAATAATATTTCTGACTACTGACTCTCCCGAGGGACAATATGAATTTCTGACAAAATATGCTGTCCCACCTTGGGCATAAAAACCCAAACATTAAGTACTTTTTTACTTAGATTGCTTTAGATTTAAACCCATATCTAGACGATTTGATTCTTCTATAACTCTTAAAGATACTCGAATTCTTCCAGTTACAGGTATTAAAGTGTTCCCAGACAACATTTTACACAAAATACTCAATTATTAAATTACAGAATTACTATTTAGTAACGCAAAAATAATCCTGATGAAGGAAATAATGTAACATATGTGATCTATTTTTACTGTTTCCTAGTAAAACTAGGGTTGTTCTATAGCATCAACTAAAGCTATATCATAGAAACAACCTATAGGCTGATAAATTACCAAGGGGCCTTTAAGAGCGTTTTACACATATGTATTTTAAACTGAATGTTCATAAAAAAAATAATAATAAAAATCTGATACTTCTTTTATTTAGGTCAGACAACTCTGGTATTTTTTTTTTAGAATAGCAGCATAACTTGATGTTACTGGCTATAAATGAGTTGGTAGGTGGGGACATTTTCATTTGGCTGAGCTCTATGTCTAAGCAATAGAAAATAATCCTAACAACTGTCTCCCGTGGTTTTGGGCAACAGAAAAAATAAAATAAAAACGTTTTATAAAAAAGACTTAAGCTTTTATAACACCCCTACATTAAATTACTTATGTTTTCCAGCTACTTTTGTTCAAGCTTGTACTTACCTAACCTCAAACAGAGGCAGGAGCTCCCCAGAAAATGTCCTTTTAAATTAAAGTTACCCAGCTAAGTCTCAGGACTAGCAAGGATTCCTGAATCAAAGGAACATGGTTCCAGAAGCGACGGTCCGCTCATGTCCAACAGAAGTAGTCCTCAATATATTAGGCTCCTCAAGTTCCCCTCTGATTGTTTGCTCTTCTGCACTTCTGGCTGCTGAGTCTCAGAGTACACAGTCTCATGAGCCTGACTTGATCCCTGCCCTCCTATTCTTATGTAGAGGAGGGGGGCGGAGGACCACAGAAGCAGGAGGGATGTTAGTGGACTTGTTTTAATGAAAGAGGTGGTGTACTAATTTTACAAAAAGTGCTTCTGTGGGGTTGTTAAGGGTTTTAACCTTGCTTCACAAAAACATGTAGACCACTTATTATTCGATGATCCAATAACAAAAATCTGATTTATTAGAATTGTATCTGTTAACCCCCACATATTAAAGTAAAAAATTATAAGCTTTGACCAGTAGCTCTGTTCCTGTCAAAGAAATACGTCCCACTGCATGATAATTCATCATGATGGGCTCTTTATGGCTCCTTTAAATACAGGCTTTGTTCTAACAACTCGGTCTAAAAGACTAGATTTGTGGAGTGCATGACTAATTTAGTCATGTGAATGAAACTGAACCCCATTAAATACGCTGTTCTTTATAAGTAAAGCTTCATTTATTCCTTTACTGATTTTAATTTATCTCTGGTAAAGAAAATGATTTACTTTAAGAGAAAAAAACAAACAAATCCTCTTTTTGTTGCACTTACTTTTGTGAGACTTTCCCTGTAGACCTTTACCAGTCTAAGGAAAGTTTTCTCCATTTGTCTGAGATGTTTGGGTAGTTATAGCATGATTTTGTTGAAGGGATAGTCTTATAAGCATAGTTTTGAGCTTGAAAAAATGAATTTTACACGATAAAAGCCCTTTAACAATCTAGGCCATTGTCTAATAAGTGCAACTGTGGATCTTTATGCCAATGATTTAGTAATTCATTGCCATGAAAATCACTTGTTCTTGTTTTTAATTCCCTTTTCTGATTTTAGTTTCAACTGTTATAATTTAGGTTAATACAAAATGCAAAAAAAGACTAAGGAAATGTTGTTTCCAACAAGAAGGAACCCTATCTTATCCCTAATATCACTCCTGGTGTCCTGATAGAATTTGTAATATTCAATAAATACCTTGGGTAACCATTGATAAAAGTTTCCCTCCCTGGGCTGACAACTTATCGTGGTGGAGGGGTTTGAGTGTCCCAATGACCTTATGGAGCTATCCTGTCTAGGGGTTTTATGCCAGCATATGCTGAAGATGAATAGAACAAATGGTCCTAGTCTTCCCTTGCCCGGACGCGGTTCACTGGGGCCCCACTCTGGAGCCAGGCCTGGAGGTGGGGCAGGCTGGTGAGTGCCTGGTGGCCAGGCTTTTACCCATGGAGCCCGGCTGGGCACAGCACAAAGAGGAATGGGCTCACCACCTGTAGGAGGGGCCAAAGGGGTCGGGTGCAATGTGTGGTGGGTCCCAGTCGAGGGCGGGGACCTTGGCTCTGATCCTCGGATGAAGAAGCTGACTCTTGGGACATGGAATGTCACCTCTCTGGTGGGGAAGGAGCTTGACTTAGTGCGCAAGATTGAAAGGTTCCAGCTAGAGATGGTTGGACTTACCTTGACGCATGACTCTGGCTCTGGAGCCAGTCTCCTTGAGAGGGGCCTGACATTCTTCCACTCTGGAGTTGTCCCTGGTGAGAGGCGTCGAGCAGGAGTGGGCATACTTGTTGCCTCTCATCTTGGTGCCTGTACGTTGGGGTTCCTCCCCGGTGAATGACAGGGTTGCCCCCCAACAGGTATGCAGAGGGTTGCCTCCCTCCACATATATTTGGGGGGAGGGGTTCTGACTGTTGTTTGTACCTATATGCCAAACAGCAGTTCAGATTACCCCCACTTTTTGGAGTCTTTAGAGGGTGGCACTGGAAAGTGCACCCCCTGGGGACTCCCTTGTTCTTCTGGGGTACTTCAACGCTCACGTGGGCAATGACAGTGAGCCCTGGGGAGGCATGGTTGGAAGGAATGGCCCACCTGACCTGAACTTGAGTGGTGTTCTGTTGTTGAACTTCTGTGCTCATCATGAATTGTCCATAATGAACACCATGTTCAAGCATAAGGGTGTCTATATGTGCTCTTGGCACCAGGACACCGTAGGCTGTAGTTCAATGATCGACTTTGTCGATGTTTCATCTGAGCTGCGGGCCGCATGTCTGGGACACTCAGGGGAAGAGAGGGGTGGAGCCTTCCACTGACCACTACCTGGTGGTGCGTTGGCACAGATGGTGGGGGAGGACGCTGGTGAGACCTGGTAGGCCCAAACGTATTGTAAGGGTTTGCTGGGAACATCTGGCAGAGTCCCCCGTGAGAAAGAGCTTTAACTTCCACCTCCAGCAGAGCTTTGAACACGTTCCGAGGGAGGTGGGGGACACTGAGTCTGAGTGGACCATGTTCTGCGCCTTTATTGAGGTAGCTGACTAAGTTGGATAAGAGCAGGAGCAAAGAGAGGTGGAACATCTAAATGCACATAAAAAGTAATAGTAAGAGGAAAAAATTTATGATGAAAGTTGAAATCAAACACCTGAAAAAGCAGAATCGGAAAGCTTTCTGTCCTTCAGCTGCCTAAGGCTATAGCAGCCTAGTTAAACAGATAACTCTGGATGATTAAAGCTACAAGCTTTATCAAAGAGGAAAGGGAACCTTTAGTTGGGAATTAATGAAGCTTCATGTGAGAAAATAAACAATTAAAATTTTCAGCATCACTCAGAATTTCTCCATCCTCAGCACCAGGGCTTTTTTCCTTTAAATTCTCAGCTTCTCCGCTGTGGGTTTACTAGCACGTTTTAGGACATTATCATGTCTCAGAGTCTGGGTCTGCTCTTTCTTTGGACATATTCACATATTTTTGTGAACCTCTTGATACATTTTGTCATTCAGATCCTATAAAGTGAGGTACTCAGCAGCTGATGCAGCACTGCAGCTTGAAAGCCCCCCCTATGCTTCACAGTAGGTATGGGGTTATTGTATAATTTGCTGTAATACTATTATTATATATTTTTATTATATTATTGTTATTCACCTGCATTATTTCCTTTATTCTGGTGTCCCAATAAACAAATTTTGCATGTTCTCATCAAGTGCACGACAGGTCTCATGTCTAGACCTATCTTTTAGCCATTTCAAGTAGGAATGTATACTATTCGCCAGAAATAAACTTGTTTTTAATCTTTGATTTTTTAAATATAAAACTTGAGATTTAACATCCATCTGTTTAAATATGCAATAAAATAATTTCCTAATTTTGCGTACCAGCTTTGCCTATTTCCTCAACTTTGTATTGATGTCATGAAATGTCACCGAACTAATTTAAGTTTGAATAAGAAATGACAGAAAATGTAAAAAAAAATTGTAAAGTATTTAAAAATGTTTGAAATACACTGTTTACTGCTGTGAAACCTCAACCTGCTTCAGGCTGATCATTCTACTTGGACACATTAGGTCCACAGCTTATAAAATTCACACTACTTCTAATACATGCAGTAATGATGAGAGTAATAAATGGTGTGTTTATCTGCCATCTGAGATGACTGTCGTACTGTTGGCACTGGAAAACATGTTAAAGATATTACTATTTTCTCTACAATTAGGATCAGACAGCAATAAAGATCCCTTTGCCAGGCGTGCTTATGGTTGCTCCTTTTTTCATAGATGCAGTCTGCAGCACATTTAGTGGGATGCTCACATCCTGTCAGCTGTCTTCACCTAGCTGCTCCCTCCTCCCCCCAGTGTCTCCCCAGGTTTATCTGTCTTTTGTCTTTGAACTCCAGACAAGAAGAAGCATCTTTTTTCCTCTCTCATTCTTTCACCTGTTTAATCTTTCGGACTGTTGACAGTGTGCTGACATGTTTTGAATCACCATACAGGTTTAGTACTGTATAAGGCTCTCTGCTTGTCCCTATAGACCCAGGCTCTACCGGCCCACGGTTGCTCCTGCCTGGGAGGATCCCAGTCTCTGAGAAGGTTTATTCGTCAGCCAGATGTCGATGATCACCAGATGTGCTCCTCTGTCAACTGAGTAGCTTTAAGCCGGAGATGTAACCCCCCCCTCCCCTTTTTTTTCTTTTACTGAAAATCTATTGCATGTATCTATTTTCTTTTATTTGCTTTGGTAATCTTTGTTTCTATTTGATTTGGTTGAATTATGTGAAAGTAATCCACAGTTAGACCTGGAGCTGTTATGCCGCTCTCTGCAGTCATTTGGTTCTGGTTTTAAAAAAGGTCCATGTTGCCCTTTAAATTGCCCTGAAGCACTGTCAGGATAGACTAAATCGGTTCATTTTTTCCCCAAAACAACATTTCAGCAGCTTCCTCCATCTTTAAAGAAAAAAAGAATATAAATAAAAGAGGCAAAAGGAAGTAAAATGATTTTAATAAACAAAATCTAACTTTAAAGGTTTAGATCTGCAATCAGGGTGTTTTTATAGTTGCTTTAATCATAACTAATCATGGATGTGATGCTTAAGGGTAGGTTTGGTAACATTATGTTATATAAATACAGATCACTTAAAACATTAGAACATGATATGTACTGTCTATTTTCGAGTGTGTGAACAAAAAGAATTTCCCACACATCTGGACTTTGCCTGTGTTTACTTTCCAGGATTGTGGAGGGTACTGTTTGTTAAAGTTAACAGAAATTTTGCTGAAAACTTCAGGAACATTTTTTTTTGTGATAGATTTATGTAAGTGCAAAATAAGTTCCAGAAAAGCTCAATAAAGTTTAAGGAAAGTTCTTGGAAAGAACCTGGTATATTCTATTTAATTTGTAAGTAAATCTCTTGTAGGTTCCATGAAAGTTCCTGGAAACCAACTGGAAAGTACCAGAAAAATTCTTGGAAAGTTTAAACAATTCCTGGTAAGTAACATAAATAGCCTGACAACTTGTCAGGCTATTTAAAATCACTGATTCAGAAAAAAGAGCATGTACTATATAATGTAGTACCTGTTTTTTCCCCCATGCATTTTGAGAAAGTCTTATAGTGGCTATTTATTGGCACCAGCTTTAACGGGACAAATGTTCTCTTACCAGATTCTCTGATCAAAACATGGAAAAGTACAAACACACATTTCCAGAAGATGCAATGGACCAGAACAAGCGATCCCAGTGGGCAC